AAAAAGATATTTATTTATGTAAGACTAATAGCGTCTTATAATTATAACTTTCAATTTGACTATTAAATCAAGTTTAAATTTTATCAGATAATTTTAAAGACACAATTCTATAAGAGATCAACTTGTTGTAACCAATCAAGTTTGAAAGTCCCTCAAATTATGCTTGGAAAATTTTGTTAGAGTCAATCTGACTATAAATAAAAAAAAATTACAAAGTTAAATTTTTTATCACCAATCTGACTATAAATAGAAGAAAAAAATTACAAAGTTAAATTTTTTATCAATTTAATATTAAAAATCAAAAAAAAATAATTTTGGAAGGAAAAAAATCCCATGAGGAAAAACGTTGTAGTAATTAACAATGTTTTATGAAAAAAACTGTAGTACTTTCTTTAGTAAAACTGACAAAGATAATTTTAGAAAATAAAATCATTTAGAAAAATATTATAGCAATTCACAGTGTTTTGTAATAAAAGCTACAATAGTTTCCCCATATGATTTACTTTTATTGTAATTATAATTTTTAATTAATTCAATATTAAAAAATTGACAAAGATAATTTTGAAAAAAATCATATGTTAAAACACTACAACAATTTATAGTGTTTTAAAGAAAAAAATTACAAGGCTAAATTCTCAATAAGTTCAATATTAAAAAAATAAAATCGACAGGGATAATTTAAAAAAAATAATAAAAAAATATGTTGGAAATACTATAGCAATTCGCAATGCTTTGTGATGAAAACTACAATATTTCTCTACATGATTTAGTCTTGTATGTAATGACTTGTAATTGTAATTCTCAACCAGCTCAATATTAAAAAAATAAAATTAACAAAAATAATTTTAAACAAATCATAAGAAAAAAACATGTTGAGAGACATTCTAGTAATTCACAGTATTTTGTAAGGAAAACTACAATGTTTTCCCCACATGATTAAGATTTATTATAAAGTTAAATTATAATCAAGTTTAATATTAAAAAAAATCAACAAAGATAATTCTGAAAAAAAATATTACCAAAAAAACTCAAAAAACTATGTAGAAAAAAACACTATGACAATTCACAGTAATTTGCAAGGAAAGTTAAGTATTTGTCTCATATATTGTAACTGTAATTTTTAATCAGTTCTATATTAAAAAATAAAATTGAAAAAAATAATTTTAGAGAAAATTATCAAAAAAATACAAAGAAATATTATAGCAATCAACAATATTTTAAGTTAAGTATTTGTCTCATATATTGTAACTGTAATTTTTAATCAGTTCTATATTAAAAAATAAAATTGAAAAAAATAATTTTAGAGAAAATTATCAAAAAAATACAAAGAAATATTATAGCAATCAACAATATTTTAAAGAAAAAGAATTATAAAATTAATTAAATTCTCATTCAGCTCAATATTAAAAAAAATAAATAAATATAATTTTAAAAAAAATAAAATAGAAAAACCATAGGAAAAAACACCATAGCAATCCATAATATTTTAAAAAAAAATTATAAAGTGAAATTTTTAACTATTTTAATATTAAAAAAATATAATATAATTTTAGAAAAAAAATAAATGAAAAATAAAAAGAAAAAAGAGAAAAGAGAAAAGTTGGAAAAAAAAGTGAAAAAGAAAAGATGAAAAGAAAACAAAAAAGTTAAAAAAAATATTTACTATAAATTACTATTAAAATTCACCATACATTAAATATAAATAAACAATAAATTCCCCGTACTCTTTAGCTTAATACTTCATATGTTAGTGAGATAATAACCTATCAGTTACACATTGGACATTAACGAAGTGAGATAATAACCTATAGTTACACCTTGGACATTAAGCAATATTCAAAACAGCCCCGCATGGCTCTTTAAGTATAGCACATTACGAGCAGGCCATAAAGACCATAAAAGCATAGTCTTCTGTTCAATAAAACCATCATTACTTTGATTAAAAACATCGAAAAGGCAATTCGTGAATCAAGTGTTATTTATAAAAGGCTTTCCTCCATGTCTGGCCGGCACAAATGGAATCAACATGACCAAAAAGACAGCTATTACAATAATATAAATTTTTTTAAAATCTTAATTCACAGTTTTATTACTCATTATTTCTTTTGAAGTATTATACATCTCTGTATATTGCACAACTATTTAAATAAACCTAAAAACTTACTTAAACCAACAGGAAAACTAGAAAATAAAAAATAAAAAATAATAAAAGTTTTAAACAACCAATTGAGTAAAGAATATCTTAAATAAATCTAGAAAAATAATAAGAGAGTTCTAACCTAATTTTTTAGAGTTCTAACCTAATTTTTTTAAAAAAAATTCTTAAATCATCTAAAAAATATAGCAAATTCTAAATAGTAACTTCTGAATCTTGTTTGGAGGCCTTCCTGAATTTTGATTATTGTAAAATTTTAAACTAAAGAAAACAAAGTCTTCAAAAGCTTTTATCAAAATTTCATTTCAATCTATCGGTTGAATTGCAAGTTATGTCTATTATTATAAAGTTATATGTTAAACAAAAAATTTATATGTTAATCTCTCTAAGTTGGAGATAAATCTTTCTCAAATCTAAACTATTTTTGACTTAATCTTTCAGATTTCCAATAAAAACTTTTTCACTCATTTTCTTCCTCTTCTTTTATATCTAATAATTTTAGATATTAACTTGAGTTTTTTTATCTTAAAATTTATGTAAGAAACAATAATTGATGTATTAATTCTTTTCTATAGTAATAAATTTTAAACTTTATATTTGCTTCATCAATATATACTGTGTTCATATAACCCTTGAGCACATCTGCTATTATAATAATTTTAATCTTGTAATCAAAAGAATCAACATAATTTACATTAATATTTTTTTTTTGTGGAGCACCTTCCATATTTTCTTAGCATTCAACATCTATTTTTTAAAAAAAAAAATCATTAATGATATCATCATTACTTTTACTATGATTGTTTATGATATCATCATCAACATAGTATTCATTGAAATAAACATCATAAATTAATAAAAGAAAAATTATCATTCCAAATATATCTTGCTATAAATAAAATCACCAAAATCACCACAATACTCATATGGATCAAGAAGTTGCCTCCTTTACTCATATTTTTGAATGAGTATTCAAAACTAGCTATAAATTCATGATTACTCTTCTTACAATTCTTTGAGCTCTTGACTTCTACCAACTGATAAGTTAGTTTTATAATTTACTTTTACATATCTTTTATCACTATATGCTAAACAACTCTTTTCAAATCTTCAATTTATCTTTACATGTCTTTTATCGCAAACTCCTAAAGATTTCTCTCATGAAGAACCTCTTCATCTCCTTTTACTTGAATATGTTATGCAAATTTTTTCAATTATAATTATTTAGCACCACGTAGAAAACAAAATAACATTGGATGGCAGCACATAGCAAGCAAAAGCGTTCATTAGTTTTTTATACCAAATGACTTAAATGAAAGCAATACAAGAAAGACAATAAGTATAAAAACACAACTTTAAAAAAAAAATCACACAAAACCTTTAATTTATAATTTTATTATTAAATAATTTTTTAAGTAGTCTATCTCTTTAAAAGATTTATAATTTCTCAAGTAAACCTAAAAACTTACCTAAAATAATAAGGAAAATAAAAAAAGAAAAGAAAAGTAATAAAAGTTCTAAACTAACAAGGAAAAAAATCTTAAATAAAGGTAAAAAAATTCTAATCTAAATAGAAAAAAAATTGTAAATCAATTAAAAAATATAACAAATACCAAACAATAACTTCTTAGCTTTATTTGAATCCTTCCCAAATTTTGATGGAACCTGGCCTTTGAAATCTTTTATATATTAAAAAAATCAATTCATTTTGACAGTCAGATTAAAAATCCTACATATTATGAAACAATTTCCTGCACCACTAGGCTTCCTAAATACATAGCTCTAGCAAAATCACACTCCAACGAGATGTGAATAAGATTTTCTGAGCCAGAACCAGGCTTGTGATCGACCAGCATCCCTCTACGATCCAGGTTCTTTCTAGGAGGCAAAACATTGTGCGAGCATCACTTAAGGAGGTATTGTAAAATGCCACAAATGTAGGTGCTCAATTTTCACATCATACTAACGTAGGTGCTCGCGCGTTCGTCTTATTTCTTCTCTTCTTTTTCTTTCTTCATCCATATTTAGTGCACATGTTTATGGATCTGGGAAAGAAAACTCTTCAACTCCAACATAAACATGTGAAAAAACAATAGCTATTAGTAATCATGAAAAAAGTTAGTGATATTAACAATAACAATAAAAATAATGATGGTGATAATAATACTAATAATAATGATGATGATGATGATGATAGTAATAATAATAATTGTGGTGCTAATAATAATTCTAGTAAAAAATTAAAAAATGTATTTATAATAATAATAATAATCAACAACGCTACCATCATAGTATGAATTTTGATTATCAATTTGAAAATAAAACAAAAGTGAATGCTAGTTATAACATTTTATTTTAATTTTTCAGGATGTGATGTCAGGTAGTGCCTCTCTATCAAGGCTCAAGGCATAAACAGAGGAAGAAATCTGAGCAGCACCGCGACACCATTTACACGAAATTGATGATTTTAGAGCTTTTTAGAATGTTTATTAATGTTGTCTTCATGTTCAGGTTCTAAAGTTTTCAAGGACGGGATATTTATTATGGATTTTGAATTTCAGTTAACCTGAAGCTGGGTTAACTTGGCCTATGAAAGATTTTATCCATTTCTTCTTTCGTTATTATTTTAGGGTTTCTATCTGTGCAAAAGAATGAGGAACAGGAAGAACAAGAACAGGTGTTGTTCTTAGAGGAGGGAAGGAAGAAAGAGTTACAGAAAGAACAGCCTTGGTTCCATCTGATGCAACCAAAGGCCCGGGAAGGCTAGTGTCTCTCAGAAACATTGCTATGGTAAGGGGCAATCTAAGATCTGATTGGATGAGATGGAAAGTGAACACAGCATCAAAATTGGATAATCCCCATCTTCATTCACACTCGGAACTGGTTGCTACTAAATTGAAATTTAATACATAAAAAAACGTTGGCCTACAGTTCAACAGCTAACATCCATTGCAAAACTTAAGAGTCCGGCAAGTTTCAGGAGAACAGGTTGGCATTACAACAGATATCCTTGTGCAGCAAAAGGGGCCCACCTAATTTCACATTCTATCCTCTCTCTTACGTGGGGCACAAGTGATGATTTCATCCACCCTGAGAATCATCTCTGCAGCTTCAGTTGCAGAGAGCAGTACGGCCTGCTTAACTTTGAATGCTTCGGAAATCCCACGCTCAACCATATCTCCTATCTGCAATAGGTTAAAGAGCAACAAATCATCAAACTATGCCCATGGGATAGAATGGATTTGAAAATATTACTTAATACCCAGCTAGCCACTTGTAAACAGCTGGCATGTCTTAAAAATTGCATTTACCAAAGCTGTCAATCATATACTTACAGATCCAGAGATGACATCAATTCCTGCAGTGCACCCCTCCTTGTGATGCTCTGCACGGAGCTGGGCTACCAATTCCGCACTGTCCAAACCAGCATTGTCCGCTATGATAGTTGGAATTGCTATGAGTGCCCTTGAGAAAGCTTCAATAGCATGGGATTTCTTCCCAGGAGTTATTCGGGCCAATTCATCGACTTCCTTTGCCATCACCATCTCAGGCCATCCACCTCCAAGCAAAACCCTGCTGTCATTGACAGTCTGAGACAGCACGCATAAGGCATCATGCAGGGACCTTTCTGCCTCATCAAGCACATGACGGCTACAAAAATTGAAAACAAATCAAAAGGTGACAACTGAAAAATAAACCTTAGTTCCAAGGTTTTTTCAAAAGAAAAGAAAAGAAAAGAAAAGGTGACTATATTATATTTCAAGTCTAGGGACACAAAATAGAGTTGCTGCATTGGGGTGATCCAAACCATCAGACTCAATTGCATCATTCACAAACACATCAATTCCAAAGAAATAGTTTCATTAATCTGCCTTCCTAAATAGCAAGCTAACAGCTATCTATATACAAAGTGAGAACATTTGGTCTAAACCCTCAAAGAACCAAAAACTGAACATATTACCAGCTTGCAGAAATTTAAGAAAGGGAATCCAGAGTACTCTCTCCGGGTAGGGAATCAATCTATTTGATTGAAGGAAGGTATTCGTGTACGGGAATCGAAGTGATTAGAACAGAAATAACAACATAATGGTTTTAGAGACGCTGAAGAAACACATTACCTTGCACCTCTCAGTACAATTGTACATGCCTGACCCATTTCAACACCTGAAAAGTGAATCAACTTATCCTCACCAATCATAATTTCCTCAATGAGCTTGCAGTGACCAAGCTTAACTGACTCAGGATTGTCAAATGTTGATGCAATTTCACCACCAGTCACTAAAGCCAGCCGTTCAATTCCGTCAAAATCAGCATGCTCAATTGCAAGTATTCCAGCATTAGCAAAGAGTTCTTCAGGGAAATTGTAAATCAATTGCCTGTTAACAAAGCAATTAATCCCATGGGCTATTATCTTATCCACCTTCTCTTTCATCTTTTCCTTCTCAGCAGCTTCAATTTCAGCAACCCTAGACATTGAATCAACACGAACGCGTGCCCCATAGATTTTCACTTTGTCAGTGTCCATTGCAGTATTTGCCACCAAAATCTTTGCATTCTCTATGCGCTTTGGTTGCCCAACACCAATTTTCTTGTCAAGAATAAATCTGAAAAAGCAAAAGAACAATTTAAATATTCGTGAAAAGGCTATTAGAAGTCAATGCATCAATAAAGATACAAGGACAGACAAGAAAGCCACCACTTGTTAACCAAGTGAGATCTTGCAAGTTGTTTTCCTTAATCTATTAGTAACTACCATTACCAAACACAAATAGATGGATATACAAGCAGCAGTTACAGGATAACTTGCACAGAAAATTCAAAGTAATTGACAGTGCAAGAATGCACATCCTAGCACTCAAAAAAGGAAATTCAAGCTGCAAAACACTACAAATGACCATTCATTTCTCATCATGGGCCAAAAAATTTGCACCATGCGGTGCAAACTTCAAAAACATGACAAGGTTCTTATAAGTTGATGTACCTACCCTTCATCTAAGAAAGAATCCTTCAGCGATCCTCCAGGCTTCTTGATAATCTGAATGGACTCTAAGTTTGTGCTTCCCTGCAGTTTCAAACGGCAATTATATGGCCAAACCAACAAGGAAAAAGAATACCCTTCACATCTGACTCAATAATAAACAGATTCTCTGAACAATTGAAACAAAATGATGGCATTAAGAATGCATCTTTGAAGGTGAGAAAAAAAAAAACAAGGGGAACAACATAGAAAGAAGTATCAGACAGGTGTAAAATACAGACAACAGACAGGCACACAATGCATGATGACAAAAGAACAAGAAAATATGACACCTGGTACAGATGTCGCTGCTGGAAAGAAAAAAAGGAACTTAATTTCATAAACAGAAAGACAAAAGTGGGTCATCCTGTATCTCCAATTAAATGATTGCTTCTGAAGGATGGGTTCAAAACCGTCATTTAAGATACACAACCCCCTCCCCCCCATCCAATAATAATAATAATAATAACAACAACAATAAATCAGTCAAGAAAATAACAAGAAAAAATCACTGGTAGGGTATAATATAAACCACTTCACCTTCAATCTCATAACAGCATCAACAGCCAGTTTTGCAAAATATTCCTTATCCTGTGATAGAATCTTGGAACTCAAAGTAGTCATTGCAATCTTCATCAAGTCCAACTTGAATTTCTCTGCATTACTCAATTATAGACATCAATGCCAGAAAATGCATTATGAAAAGCACTATCAAAAGCTAATTAGCAAAAACCAAGTTCTACACATTCTGCAATTCATATTCATAGAGCAATTGATACCTTCATTCTCTTTGTTATCCACAACCTTTTGCAGCAAAGCATTACGAGCACATTCTGCTGCCATTCGGAAACCTAAACAATCATGGAAACAGCATCAATAAATCATCTCATGCTATAAAAGTTAAAGTCTCAAATTCACCATGATTATTTTAACATTAGGTCTCTAAGAAAAAAAAGGTATGACTGACAGTTTTGAAAGGGAAAAAAATCTCTGGCACTCTAATTGGCATAACTTGTTGAAAATTCAAAAAGGAATGAGATGATCAGCAGGGAATTTCCTCTATCAAGATTATATGGAAAGACTGATTCCAGATCCAATATTCCAGGCTCTGGTTTAGCAGGCAAAGTTAAAGCAGAGAAGGAACACAATCTACATAATGTAAAACAGCACTGCATGTAATAAAACATGGAAAACACTATTTCAAATTCTCAGCAAAAATGAAAAACAGCTCACAAGAAGCACCAACAATAACAAAAGATCAGAGCAAGAAGAAGGGTGAAAACAGGAAGCATTGCAAAGCCAGAAGCCTAGAATAAACCTGCTATTATTGTCATTGGATGAATCTTCGATGCTAAAAGCTTTTCTGCCTCCCTTAGAAGTTCCCCCGCCAAAACAACAACAGAAGTTGTCCCATCACCAACCTCATCATCTTGAACTTTCGAGATGTCTGAGTAGTGAGTTAAAGATTGCCATAACAAATTCCAGTAGAGCTATTTACCTTAGTTCTTTTTTATCATGCACAACAATTTGCTAGTATGTCTAAATTTTAAATTGAAAGAGAGATGACTCTGACCGGATATTTCAAAATAAATAACAAGCACCCTTTTTTAATAAAGTTTTCCTCTGCAAAATCCTTACGCTTTAACTATCCTAAAAAGCAAATTGACAAGCCATATTAGCAATGCAAGGATACCAACAAGGATTTTAGCAGCTGGATTGTCAATGTGAAGGGACTTCAAGATGGTGGCCCCATCATTAGTGACTGTGACTTCACGACCTCTGCCAGTAGATTGTAAAATTTTATCCTGGAAAAAATTGAAAAAACCAAGAAGATGACAATAGTAATAAACCAAAACACGCAATGTTTTTCAATTTTTGACAACACACTCAATAATGAAGAAATCTTACCATCCCTTTTGGACCCAAAGTTGTCTTGACCAAGTCAGCAATTGCCATCCCACCAATAAGCGATGCCTAAAAAAGAACAAAAAAAGAAAACAAAACAAAACGACTCAAGTAAATTAAAAAAAAAAAAAAGCAAAAAAGCAATGCCCCCTGCCAAGTTAGCCATTGTTTCAATCCAAGAATTATTGACTGATAATCGAATTGCATGATAACAGTAACAAAACAGTAATGAAAATAAAACTTCCGGCCACACAAATAACTTCGTCACAAACTTCTCAAATACATTACTGCATACAACAGCATCCATTGAGAACAAAACAAAAACCCGACCGGGAAAAAAACAGTAACATACCAGTCTGGCACGCTCTCCCTTTTCCTCGGTAGCTTCGTCTTTAAAAATTCTCTCGACCTGCAATATTCCAAGTAAGTCATCTTCAAAAACAAAATTCCAAAACTAAAAAAAAAAGAAAAAGAAAAAGAAATGAGAAGCACTAGTCAGCAACCGGCATACCACCATTGCAAAGTTTAAACCTAAAGTTAGCCGGACTATCCACACCATTAATCAAATCCATGCATAAAACCCTAATAATTCTAAAAATAATTAAAATCCATGCATTACAATGAAAATTGAAATGGTTAAAAACGAGAAAGATGGGAACAATCAATAATGTTCGATAAGAAAATGGAAGGTTTCTTAGGAAATCCTAAGAAAGCTTGATGTTCTTTCCCTTTTATCAAAATCCAAAGCATTAAAGCCTCAATGCTGGCCTAGTCTAGTCTAGCCTAACCTAGCCTAGCCTAGCCTTCCCCATCGCTCTCTTTGGCGTTTGACATACTGAACAAGAATCTAGAAAGATAAGAAAATTCCTCACCATGACTCACGGGTAGTGGATCGGGATGGCCTGCGGCTGCTGCTGATGGTACTGGAGCTAGTACTACTGCTTAAGTAGCGGAGGCTGAAGGTGGCTGCTGCGAAGGAGGATGGCAGACGGCAGTGGTGGAAAAGACTGAGGAGGAGGCGGCTTGGAACTGGGTGAATAGCGAGCGAGGAAGAACTGTCGTCGCACTTTGGCCTTTGGGTTGGGTGATGAGGGGACTTTGCTTTAGGGTTTCTTTTTAAAAAAATACCTTTACAGAGTTTAATTATTTTTTAATGGCAAAAATTAAATTCAAAACTCTTTTAATAAGAATAGTTGTCTTTTCACAAGTTGCTTAAGCTTATTTATATTTCCAAAAATGGCTATGAAACTAAGTTTTTTAACTTATTTATATTTTTAAAATGGTATTAAAAAAAATTTCTAACCAGATTTTATAGCCAATGATAAATTTATCTAAAGGTTCCAAGGAAATAATGTTACAACAATTTGTAGATGATTAATATAGGGTGTATTAGAAAATTTAATGGAGGGATTGTTTTTTAAAGTGTTTTTTATTTATAAATATATAAAAATATTATTTTTTTTATTTTTTAAATTTAATTTTAATATCATCATATCAAAATAATTTTAAAAAATAAAAAAATATTTTAAAGCTTAAAAAAATTAAAAACTTTTAAAAATACAGTTAGATTATAATGTCATAATGTATTTGATTATGAGACATATAATACTTTTTAAAAATGCGTTTTCATTTAAAAATGTTTTAAAATATTTTAGGGTTAAAAATATTTTTGTGTTTGTAAATGCATAATAAAATAACAAATTTAACCCTGTAATGAAAAGATTCGATGATTTCTGCACAAAGATAATTTTGTATTTTCAAGTTTGGCCAAATAGCAAACTTACAAAAGTACCCATGCTATTCTAATTTCTTTTTGTCTTGCAGGGTTTTGTGGAAATTTTCACATGCTCTATGTTGTGATTTTTTTTATTGTTCCTAAGGTCATAACAAAAAAGTTGATGGCACGTATAAAACACTTGTCATCATGACAACCACTATGCTTTTTTTTTATTATTAATTATAAGAAGTTAAAAAGGATTTTGAGATTATAAGATTAATATGAGAATTAAAAAATAATAAAAATAAATGTTAAGGTTAGAGGATCCACTGGTAGTATTTTGAATAAATATAGAATGAGCTCTTTTTATTACTTAATTAGAAACCATACACAAAGGAGGTTCCAAACGGATTATAAATTGTTAACATGATTTACATTAGTTATCTTATTCGAATAATGTTAATACTTGTAAATGTTGTTAGGTATTTGTAATTATAACCTGTGGTAACAACAAATCAAATTCCTTTCATAGCACTGGTATAAGTTATACCATATAATTAGACTATAAAAGTACCAAGTATTTGTTGTACCAAGCGTTATACAACATAAATCTAAATTAACTATTTAACAAGCAAAGTATTAAAAGTGAACAAGATAACAAATACAAAACATGTTAGTATCAAATATTAAAGTTCATGTTGAGTTTATGTATCATTAGTGTGACCTTTTCATCTTGACATAATAAATTTAACTAAACATAATGAAGAAGAGAAACATAAATAAATAAGATAAGAACATAGATAGGATATAAGTTAACTAAATAAAGGAAATGAAATGAAAAATATAAGCAAGAGATTAATAAAAACAAAACTTAAGCAT